GGAATTTAGCCAGCGCCCCAGGGCTGACACCCCCAGCCTCACATCCTATCCTGTCATTATATAAAAAAGCCCTGTCAGCTCTTTGGCGCCGATGGCGATGAAGACGGTGTTTCCGGTGAAAGCCAGCACCGCGCCCCCTAGCACTCTGCCAAGTGCCCGCTTGGGCCAGACTGAGAAGACCACCAAAGCGCTGGGCTTTCCTTGGCAGGCTCCAACCCACGAGTCACTAGCACCCGCCTGCTTAGCTCACCAGCGAGCTGCCCAGGGTGGCCCGGGCTGGCAAGTGCAGAAGTCTCTTGGTAATGGTTTTGGCTGGGCACAGAGTTGTCTGAAGTGCAGCCAGCAAGACGATTGCTGGGCCAGGCCCTTGTGTGTATTTTTCCATGGATGTCACTTTGCCTGTGGAAGGAGCTGTCGGCCAGGGAGCCTCCGTGGTATATTGTGTCTGTACACCCACGGAGGCAGGTCTGGACACCCCGTGCCACGTCACAGGCCTGTGTGGGATAGGCCAGCCCATTGGCCAGAGGAATGACACACTATGTTCTTAAAACATCCCAGAACAGTGCTCCTCCGTAATACGTTGTAGCCCGATCCGGGCCTGGACAGAGAATCTCCTAGCACAAAGATGTGGCTGCAGGGAGTCAATGAACATGCATCATGGCCCAGCCCATCAATCCGCCCTCTAGAGCAGGGGTGGGCAAACTTTTTGGCCCGAGAGCCACATCGGGGTTCCAAAACTGTATGGAGAGCCAGGCAGGGAAGGCCGTGCCGCCCCCAACAGCCTGGACCCCGCCTCCTATCCGCCCCCACACACTTCCTGCTCCCTGGCTGCCCCCCACAGAACCCCCGACCCATCCAACCCCCTCTGCTCTTTGTCCCCGACTGCCCCACCCCCTATCCACGCACCCGACCCTTGACAGGCCCCCCGGGACTCCCACGCCTATCTAACCCCCCATCCCCTGACTGCGCCCCCCCCCGGAACCTCCGCCCCATCCAACCGCCCCCTGCTCCCTGTCCCCTGATTGCCCTCCGGGACTCCCTGCCCCTTATCCAACCCCCCTGCCCCTGACCACACACCCCCCAGAACCTCCACCCCATCCAACTGCTCCCTGTCCCAACCTCCCCTCCCCCTTACCATGCCACTCAGAACAGCAGGACAGGCAGCCTCACCCCCCAGAGCGCAGGGAGGGGGGACAGCAGGGGAGGGTGTCACAGAGTGTGGGGGGACACAAGGCCCTGTACCCCCGGCTTTCTGCGATTTACCATGACTCTTAGCCAGCCAGTAAAGCAGAAGGTTTATTTAGACGACAGGAACACAGTCCAAGACAGTCTTGCAGGTACAGACAACAGGACCCCTTTAGTTTGGTTCATCTAGGGGCCCCAAGGACACCACAGCCCTGGGGGGGGCAGAGCCCCGTCTGGGCCCCACTCCATTTCACCAGCCATCTCCAAAACTCTAACTCCCTCCAGCGTCTCTCACTCAGCCTTTTGTCCATTCCCGGGCAGAGGTGTCACCTGGCCTCCAACCCCCTTTCTGGAGTCTCATGTTACATGCTCAGGTATTGTCCCTTAAGGCCAGTCTCCCAGCCCCCAATGCAGACCGTCCCAGCCAAACTTCCCCCTCAGCATTCAAAGACCACATTAAGAACAGTCCCAGTTTGCCACAGAGGGGCCGGGAGCTAGCCTCCCCGGCAGGGAGCTTAAGGGTCGGGCAGGATGGTCCCACAGGCCGCATGTGGCCCGCGGGCCATAGTTTGCCCACCTCTGCTCTAGATCCAGATGCAAAGAAAGGGATTTTTCTTTTCGTATTTAGATCTGTAATGCCGGGAGAACAATGATCTTACATTTATAGGCGGCGTCTCCTAAGGGATCTGGGAACAGCGGCTATACGCGAGGATCACATTATCCCCTGCTGAAATGCAGCTGCCTCTGGGGTGGGATAAAACAGCACAGTAACACCGCACAGTGATTTAGGCAGCCGGAAGTGGAAAATGGGCCAGATTCTCAGCTGGTGTCAGTGTCGCTTCATTAAAGTCAATGAGGATTGTCACCAGCTGAAGATCTGGCCCCATATCTTTCTCCAGCTTTACCAGCAAAGGGAATTTAGGAAAGGACACCAGAATTCCCAGCCTAGCCTAGATTCTGCTGTGCGCCATTGGAGTAAGTCTGGAGGTGAAGGAAAACAGGGCCACCCCAGCCGTGGCATATCACGGTCGGTGGAGTCCTGCGCCATGGCCCCAGGGCTGTGCTTAGCATTTAATGCAGTGGTCTCCTGTTCCCTCTCGTCTAGTTCCCCCCATCCCCAATAGAAAGGGCACTCCTGACCCGCCCCAATGCCAGCCTAGCCCAGCGTCAACGTGGAGACCTCACTGCTTCCTTTCCTAATGCCCCCCATGCTGCTTTGTCTGCAGGGCCCTCCGCTCCCAACAGGACACGTCTGCACTTCCACTTCACCCAGGATGCCGGGAGAAGCGTGCAAATCCTCCATGCCGACATGTACGTGTTCCTGGCAGCCCCCAGCGGCCCCGCGCGCAGGGTCACGGCAAAGCTGCTGTTGTCTGAGCCGGGCGATGCAAACCCGACGCTGGTCGGCAGGAGGCAGCTGGAGGTGAAGCGGGGAGGCTGGGCCGCGGTGGAGGTGAGGACAGCTGTCCAGAGCTTCTTCAGCAAAGGCGGCCAGAGACTAACGGCGGAGCTGGAGTTTGAAGGAAGCCCGGAGCCTGCCCTGCTTCTCAGCAGCAGCGACTCTCACCGGCCGTTCGTGGTGGCCAAGGCCCGGGCCAGGCCCCGACACCGGATTCGCCGCCGGGCCGTCGAGTGCAATAGCAAGTCGAGGACGTGCTGCAGAAAGCAGTTCTTCGTTGACTTCAAGGAGATCGGCTGGGAGGACTGGATCATCCAGCCGGAGGGCTACCGCATGAACTACTGCACGGGGCCCTGCCCCACCCACGTGGCCGGCATGCCCGGCCTGGCCTCCTCCTTCCACACAGCCATCCTGAATCTCATCAAGGCCAATGATATGAACGCAGATACAGCAGTGGTGGTTGATGTTACAGTGCGATGGGAGGATAATGCCGGAAG